CACTGCCACAAAGTTGCTGTTACACTTCAGGTCTATTTTAACGGATTATTGAAAGCATGAGAAGTGTGTACAGTCGGAGCATTTACTCACCAATTCAGTTCTATTTGATCCATTCAAATCCTCATAAGGTTTTACTATATGCACGTGTATTACTACGGTCTCTAGATCTATGAGCTGCTTCCAGAATAGTTCAGTGTCAATCTTTTTCACTGTGTCACAGAATACGTTCTGTGACACAGCCTTTAGGGTGAGCCATTCCCAGAAATGTATTTATTTATTTTTCACCAGGAACATTTTCAAAATGGTAGGCATATTCACCCAAAATCTCACCATCATTCTATTATAATTTGCATGAGTAAAAGGAAATGTGTGTGGGAAGGGCTGCATGACTGGCTTCAGCCCAGGGGCCCACCTCCTCCTAAATCCAGCTCTGTTTTTGGCCATTGTTTAAGACACATTTAGACAGCCCACAATGAAACAATAAAACATTATATCACCATGCACATTCTGCTTTTGGTTGCAACCTCTGTTTTCTTAAACCTCCCCACAGAGAACATATGTCTGGATGTTTATGGGAGGTGTATGCACTGACCAGGCAGCAGTATGATAGAACGAACAGGTCTCTGTCTGCACTACACAGAGATGCTAATTAGTCTGAATTGGGATGATAAAGTTGTGTTATTTGCCAAAGATGTGCAGCTCCAGCTGAGAGAAAACCTTTTGTCTGATGAACAATTGTACTAAAATTAGTATTACAGTCAACAGTGTTTGTCACAGTATACTTGTGGTCTGTAAAGAAAAGCCATCGCAGACTATAACAGATTGCTCTGTGAGACGATGGTCATATTGGCACAATGGCATGTTCATTCTTGTGTTTTATTATCCGAGTCGAATAATAAACTTTGGGTGTATCAGATCTATAAAGTCGGACATGTGTTCCAACATTTTTTTAACACCAGCTCATTTTATGATCAGCAGACGGCCACAGCCCCAGCGAAGTGCTTAAACCGAGACAACATTTGCTATTTCAGGGAAATTTTATTGAATTACACATTTTCACTCAATCGAAAACCTAAATTAACGTTTGTCCACCGACATATTGTCTTGGCATGTGAGGAGGTACAGTAGGAAACCAGGCCAAAAGACAGACAGAAAAGAGCCGAGGTAAGAGGATGGAGTGGGCCGCATGCCTTGAGAAGCGCAGTGGCTCTTGGAGGCCCAGAGAGCTGCCATCTGTCCTGGGGCTGAGCTGGCCAAGCCAGGAGACAAGCTCCCCTGACAGCATGCAACCGCCATATGCTGCTGGAGCATGTACACGACGAACTGGCATGGCTGAGAGCGACATGGGAGGGACTGGCCTGGTCTGGTCTGTGGAAGCTGTGAGCTGAGCTGACCTTAAATTCTGTAGCTTCATTTTCATGACAAAACGGCCTAAAAACAGTTGAGCATGCATTGGGATCTCTGCTGAGTCGGAACTACATAGGGCTTTTACCGTTGCACTTGTCACTGGGTATTGACTGAACAATAAAAAAAAATAAATAAAAAAAAATTAAGCAGTTATGTTGTGGTCATAGCAACATTACGTATAAAAAAATACCGTAGAGAAGTTTGCATCCACTCATCACCGACATAAATGTTGTAATCATTTATCAAACCCATCTTAATTCATTGTGAATGATCATACAATAGGCGAAAATTTGACTTCAGATAAGTCAAATTTGTCTTATTATTTAGTTTGGGTTTTTAAAATTTAAGAATACTAACAATGTTAATGAAACACATCTTACATAGCCCTATTATTGTGGTAAGCGTTGTCCATAGTTGCATTTGGGCACCAGGTCACAACCTCTCCTACAGATGGTGAGAGCTTCGTGTCCTCTGGATGCGAGAGGTGTGTGATATCGTATGATGGCGCAATGCAGAGCAAACTTGGCTGGGTCAATAGGCCAACCAAGCTAAAAGAAATTCTGATGTTTATGTGTGAGTGTTGTTGACACTCACACCAAGTCAACATCACCATCAGTAAAAAACATCACAGCATTGTTTCTCTGTTAACGATTAGGAGAAGATGGAGCATGCAGTACTCCATTACTGTTATCCTCCAAATGTGGCTGCAGCCGATTGCTCTTCAATTCCAGCCTTCAGTGAGAAGAGCAGGCAGAAGTGCAGGCTTTCTGTTGCCTTTGTAACGATGTGTAGAATACCTTTCATACATGACGATTTAGCTTGTATGATTGAAACAGTCCTTCGCGTAGACGCACATGCAGAGTGAGAACTTCAAACTCCATAGCTACACGGTTACTGAGTTCAGCACAGAGTTTATTAGACTCCTGACTTCCAGCCTCAACAATTTGGTGTTCTGACATTCATAAACAACTCGAGAGCCTTATAGTCAATAAATATCAGCATAGTCAGAACACTGAGACACATCAATAGACATCCAGTTTTAATTTCAACTAAGCAAAACATAGAAAAACACTTTTCTTACCAAAAATTCCAAGCACAAACGACATAAACAACAATGACAACGCTGCTTCCCTTGACCCACTGGGGGTTCATTTTTGCTTCAAAAAACAATCTGATTGGAAACTGGAAAAGACTTAAGTTCAAGTTGTACTAAAAGAAAAATGGCCTACCAATGAAACTATTCAGTGCAACATTCTTTCTTAATGCTAAACATGCTGTCAGCCTCCATATCTCTAAGCATTCATAGTTCCATGAATGCTCATGAGTTTCTGAAACACTTGAAACAACAATACTTTGCACCAATCTGATGGCTGAATAACCTAAATAACAGATTACCAAAAGGAAATATCTTTGTCATTGAGCTCATCTATTTATTCAATAAAAATAAAAAAAATCAGGTTTTTGAATTGCAAATGTTGTTTATGGATGCAGCTGTGGAGCAGAGGCAAAGCGCCACCGATTAAGGGACGCTTTAGTCCTCAAAGCAGCCGTCACAGATTTGAGTCGCGGCCTGCTGACCTTAGCTGACCTTAGCTGACCTTAGCTGCATGTCTTCCTCCTCTGTCATAACCCACTTTCTGTCTGACAACATCTAAATAAAGGCCATTAGAGCTGATAAAACCTTTTATTTTTTTGTCAATGTTTGGTTTTGACTGAAATGTGATTAATTAATTACAAATCCTGCAAATAACTCAATTAAAAATTTTAATAGAGTCCCATTACTGGCTTTTTTTGAGTATTCAGTCACTGAATCACATCAGCTCTGTCAGCGGACAGCAGAGCTTACAGGGTATCAAATCCATTCATAAAATTAATTCTGATAACCTTAATATGCTTTCAGTGAGCAGGGAGATGCAAGGATTGGCAATTATCAAAACTGCATCAGCCGGTGATCCCTAAAGACTCTGATCCTTATTAAAAACAAATTATAATACGTGTAATTTTATTTTATTTTTTTCTAAAATGACCCATGCTGCCTTGGGCTGTAAAATCCCTCTAATAAAATGCTATGAAGCTAATCATAGCATTTTGGGTCATACTGGGGAGAGATGGCCGGCTTTGTTATTAGTTTTCAGACATTAACATTCTGAAAATAAAATTTGGATTTGAGCCACATGACTAAAGTTAGGCTTTTGAATCTGACACATGCATAGAGAAACACACGGCTTCTTTACGTCAGGAAGAGACAGAAATGTCCAGACAGAGAGGCACAGATGGACATGCAGGTAGACAAACAAAAGGATAAAGTGAGGTGAGTGCCAGGTAAGCAGACTGTTAGGTTTTATGAGCTGCACACGTAACACACAGCATGAAACAGGAAGGGCTCCTCTCAGCAGCGCTGCCACTGCTGACACACACACACACACACACACCAAAGATTTGATCCGTTAATGTCACGGGTGTCAGTGTGCTCCACTGAATCAGCATGATTCAACATTACTGCACTGCAAGAACACTTTTCTAAATATTCTTATGAAAGTGTTTCCACTCAGGCAAATTTGTCAAATTTGGAAATCTACATTGTTGTGCAGTCATGTTTAAAAATATTAAATAAAACACACGTTCCAAGGATACTGGTTTGTCAGGATAAAATTACCTTTTAAAAATAAAAACCTTTCAGTAGGTAGTAAACATACTTTTTAATTAATCCAAAATTTCTGGATTAAAAGATTTATTGGTCTGCTGTAACATACTAATTTTAAATGTCACATTTTGATTAACTGTAAGTGCAAAATCATCATTTTGAAAACAGAAAAAAAAGTTCAACATCCATCTGTATGTGATTAATCTATATAGAGCTATCGTATATAGAACTTTGTGATAAAGTTCTAGAAATTAAATATTACAATATCAATAATATTGCAATTTCCTGAATGGGTCTCTGTGAAACAGTACTGACTAGTTTGCAATTTAATGAACACTATTGATGTTTCCTACACTGTGTTTTGTCAATCTGATGGTATAATCTTTTAAATAATTGTATGCTAACCTCCCACATCCAAAGTGATGTTATATTTTCATTATATTTTACTTATACTGCCTCATGTGCATCATTTCACAATTCACAAGAAATTATAAAGGCCTCTCTTTGAACGATGTATTGTTTTACTGTCCAAAGTCTGAAAACTTTGGACAATAAAATAAGTTATTTTACTGCTCAGTTAATAACGTTTGACAAAGCACATCAAGCTGAATTTTTATATTGTACCAAAGCACAATGTTTATTACTTGCATTATTTAGTATTGTAACAAACTTATGATACAAGGCCTTGTAAAAAAAACTTTTTTTTAAAATAATTATCATGCAAATGTGTTTAAAATAAAAGTAGATATTTACATGCAGTTTTACTTTTGTTACAGCTCCTCACTTTATGGTAAATCTGCAGCAGGTTTAACAAAAATACACTTTTTTACAGAATAGTGTCATCATGTTGTGACAACATAAAATGAGACAGATAATCCGTGGGGGGAAAAAACTAAGCTCCTCTGCATCCATGAGCTACAACTGCAGACTGCAGAAAAAAACAACTTACCCTTTAACTGCCGTCGACAATGGTCATGCTAACCAGTCTTAGCAATTCCTGGCAGGCTCTGTTGTGTTGAACCAGCTGTAACGTAACAGAGAAAGGGATAGAGCATGAGCAGTGCGTACATGAGGATGACTGACAACGCTGAGACCCTCCTCTTGGCTCTGATTGGTTGTTTCTGACTGAATAGTTTCTGCCGTTAGTTCTGGGCGTACTGGGAAATGGAAAAGGAGCTTGATTTTTTCCCTCACAGGTCATCTATCTCATACTCTACTGTCACGACATAGTGACAGCTTTACCTGCTGCATCCTTAAACCTGCACAGTGAAAATGCTGCTGTTAAAAATTGTGGTGTTTAAGAAGCTTAAAAAAGTTTGGGTCGCCTTTAACTGGAAAAAGTTAGATACACAAGTGCAAGGAGAGCAAAAATGTTAGCATGAAGCTCCAGACGACAGCTCTTTTAGTCCAGAGGGCTTTATCACACACAGAGGGTGCAGCCCCCTGGTGGGTATGAGCTCATTTCAGCCTCACTGACAAATAAATGGCATTTTCATGTGTGTGTGTGTGTGTGTGTGTGTGTGTGTGTGTGTGTGTGTGTGTGTGTGTGTGTGTGTGTGTGTGTGTGTGTGTGTGTGTGTGTGTGTGTGTGCGCACGCACATACATGTACAATATTCCACTTGAAATCCCTGAAAGTATTGTCACAATTGGCAAGGTGCCACTTTCAGAACACTTAGGAAGGCAGGACTACAGTGCTCAGCACAAACTAGTAAGTAACACACACACACACACACACACACACACGCACACACACACACACACACACACACACACACACACACACACACACACACACACACACACACACACACACACACACACCTACACAACGTAGAGATAATGCGACTCTCCTTAAAGGATACTTGCCCCTCCAGCGCTTAGAAGTTTGTAGCCTCATTTTCAAGTCTGACCAACTTTACAGGACATTAACCACTAAAGTCAGGGAGAGCTTTCATACGATCTCCCACATCCAGAGTAATGTTGAAAATATGCAGGCAGTCGAAATGGAAATTCTATGTCAGAACATTATTATCCAAGTGGGGCATTTAGAATAGAATGATTCTTTATTGCCTCTCTCTCTCTCTCTCTCTGTGTCTCTCTCTCTGTCTCTCTCTCTCTCTCTCAAGAAAACAAAAAATGGTGCTGACAAATAAATGGCGTTGGTGCTATGACAGAAATGTTGTCGTAACACCAGGCTCTTTTTGTTCATAAAAATCTACCTTACTTGGACTTTTTTCTGCTGATTTGTAGAAAAAAATGGTTAAACATCCATGGGGTGAATACTTTTTCAAGGGGCTGTAAATTAGGACTGCTAAAGTAGAACAGAACATAAAAGACTGGTGAAGACTGCTGAACACAACTGGTTTATAATCTCTGCTAATTAAGAAGTCTTTGCTGTGTCTTCATTTGATATCCTGCCAAACAGGTTCCCCTGTTACTGCCTGTTCAAAAAGGGTAACCCACTTGGCTCCTTTTTCAGACTCCCTGAGTTGTGTCATTGTTTTGTGGAGGAGAAATCTCTGGGTGCAAATTCATAAAGCCTAATGTTGACAAAAATTGAATGTTGGAGAGTGTGTGTTTGACTTTAAAGACATTGAACATTTGCATAAAAACACAAAGGTGAAGATATCAAGCTGGCCTGCACCGAAACAATTCTCTGTGAAATGTACATAATCAGGCATAACATTAAAAGTGAGGCAGCCTCCCTGTTGCTGCCATCACCAAGCTCTGACCTTCATCAGACCCCTAAATGTCTCCTGTGGTCTCTGGCACTAAAATGCTGGAAAGAGATTCTGAAATCCTGTGAAGTAGTTTTTCCATCTTATCCCGCAGAAGCTCAGTTGGATTTAACGTGGGGAAATTTGGAGGATCTTTTAACACTTCAAATTTGCTATTATGCTCCTCAAACCTTTTCTTAGCCATTTCTACTTTGTGGAAGGACATAAATGGAGGGAACAGCCATTACAAAATGTCAGTTCCGTAGGTTCTGCATGTGAAAGTAACATCAAAATATGGACGGTAGGATCAAAGTTTTTCCCAGGGTTCAGGAGTTAGGCAGCCACATTCTCGTTGTCTTGCACTACTTATGCACTTTACTTCGTTTTATTAGGTCCCAGAACATTTGTCTAAGAAAAAATACAGAATAACAAAATTAAAAGCAAGAAACAAAAAACTAAAACAGACAGAAATTTGAGGTTTCTCTAGGTATTCACTAAGACTCTCAGCCCCCTAAACTGCGGATTTGGATCCAAAGAAACTTCCTTAAAGATCTTGGCAAAGGCTACATGGCTTTTGGCTTCATTGCAGTCTCTGTCATGCTATCTCTCTCTCACACACACAAACACACCAACCTGCAACCTCAACTGACCTTCAGTAGCCTCCGTGACCTGCAGTATCCTGCATTAGCTCACATTCACGAAACAAAAACCTACACGAGCCTACACCAACCCACACTCACTGAGTCATTACACAGCACATGCAGACAAAATCTCACATGCACACTTAATTCAGTGCAGCTGCCTAGTAACAGGTAGGTTATTTTTAATCGCTCGGAAAGTCTGCAAGAAATTAATTGTTTGTCAGATGGAACCTAATTGCACATCGAATGCGTGAAGCAATGATTCCATAATTTAAGTCTTGTCAATTTAATTCGTGTTTATTCGTTTACAGACTGACACGCCAGGTGTGGAAACACCTCTGGGATTTAATCCCAGAACCCTGCCTGCCACGAAGGACCAGCGCACCACCATGCAGTTCCCCAACGCATGCTTCCTTTGTCTTTAATAGCATCAGACATTCATACGTGCAAATTTTGATTGTTTTATCTAATTTTCAACTTTGTTGAACAACATAACAGCTTTCACATTACAAAAATACCAACACGAAGATACACAACATTTTAACAATGGATGGAAATTGTTGGCCTTAACTTGCATTTGTTTTTTTAAGGCCAAATCAGAATTTGAATAAAGAGTCATATGGAAGATATTTGGTTGGACTGATATTTAACTTTTCTCGTTTTGGAAAGGGCCTTGAGATGATTTTTGCATTGAAGAGGTTTAATAAAAATTAAAAAAAACTATTCCGGCATTTCTGTCTGGGCACATAGTGTTATGAAAAGATGAAGTCAAGAGGTTCCTGTGAAGAGTTTTGTCTGCTCTAACTTCTGCTTCCTCATTGAAAGAACCATAATTTTAAACTAAATGATACCAAAAGTTCAGATACAGAGTTTAATTAGAAAAATTATATCATCCTATTTGGAACTTTTTTTATTCAATAAGTGTTTCCCTCTTTGTCTTTCGAAATTCTAGTTTATTCTAGTTTCCTTAGAGACAGTTTTGGTAAGATAAATAACTGGCAGTGGTCTGAGACCTTCAGAAACTCTCAAACTTGCAGTCGATGAAATGATATTGTCCAAGATTATCATTGCTAACTTTTAGAACTGTGGTTCCTAATCCAGGTCCTCAGGCCACCCAGTCCTACATATTTTAGGAGGCATTCACACCAGCACTGTTTAGTCTGCTTTAATCAAACTCTTCATCGTTTACCTAGAAAGTCCGGTTTGTTTGGGGAGGTGTGAATGCGTATTCCAACTCTGATCCGGAACAAAAAAGGCGAACTCTTGGTCTCGGTTGAAATGAACTCTGGTGCGGTTCCAGAGTATAAGAGGACCGGAGAGCGCTCCCAAAGCAGGAAGTGGACCACGATGTGGAGCATTCTGGGTAAATGCAACCAAAATAAATGCATGAGAAATGGTTTATGGTCGTTTTACAAAGATGAGAAAAATCCTACAACCATTAAAACTGAACCCACTTCATTTTTCTTTACATTTTGTAGAAGGAAGCCCAAAAAAACTAATAAAAATGGTGGACATGCCTCTGTTGACAGAACATAAGCTTCACGTCAAATGATCACAGTTCATGTGTATTACTCTTCATTTGGGAGATTTTAATGATTACAATGGTGTTAAGATATTTTTTCCATGCTTGAAGCAAAACATCAGTACTATGTGTGAATTTCCAAATCAATTGGAAATCTTAAAACACATAGAAGCAGTTTGTAAAAAGAGGACCAGACTGGAACTGGCAGATTTGATCAATAAGTCGCAACGATTTCGAGCCAAGTTGTTATAAACGATATATCCTGCCACAAGCTGCAGAACTGCTGCATCATCCACCACTAATGCCGAGAATGATCGCCAGGCAGACTTATGATGAGCTCCTTCCCACCAGTTTGCTCCATTATGCCGGCGCTTGCAGTACAGCTTAAGCCATCAACATTATTCCAGTCAATACCAGCGGGAAATATGGAAAATAGAAATCACACAGCTCTGCAGCCAAGAAAAGAAAAGTTACTTTAGTGTTCTCACCCTTTCTGTGTAGCTACATTAAACTTGTATGCATTACTCAGTCAAATGCACATCTGCACCAGCCTGTAACTAGCTGAGGTAAAGAGAGCAAACCACAGCATTTACATGTGGAGAACCTAATCTGGTGAAAAGCTTCAAACAGGAAGATAAACATGGAACAGTTGATAATTAGAGGACAATACCTGTCTTTATAATTTGCTTGAGTTTGTCATTCACAACAGTTTTAATCACTTCTGAGGGAATGAATAAATAAAGAAACTCTGAGTCACACAAAATGAAACTGAACACTCACTGCTCTTGGTTGTCCTCATCTTCAGGTGAGTTGTACGCCTCACGGGTCGAGTTCATTAGATAAGATGGAAGTCCTTCAGAACGTGCATGAATGATCATCTACCACCGGGATTATTAAAAGCAGCTGGTCATATAAACCATCTCAGTCCCAGTGATGATGACTGGATGCTGTTAATTCTTCTGTGACTTAATCAGCCTGAACAACAAACTGAATCAGTATTTGTTAGCTTATTTTTTTTTAAAAGCCTGTATTTTTGTGAAATTGTGTAGTGACCATCCACACACTTAAAAATAAAACAAAATCAAAGGTTTTGTGAAAATATCTTAGTTTACTTGAAATAAGTAAATCACTGAATGTTTTAGC